GATAGATTGGTCCACTTGCATTGGACCTGGGACTTGGATTTTAGACACTATTTGGACATGCTAAATAAAAAAAATAAAACCAAATAAAAATAAAAAATATAATATATATTTTTTAGAAATTACATAATCATTTAAAATCATATATATATGTGTGTTTCCAAAACTATATATTATGATTTTAAAACTATATGTTATATATATATATATTAAAAACTATATAAAATTTCAAAATTATATATATATTCAAAGCTATATATTACAACATTAGAACTATATAAATTAGAATTTTAGAATTATATATTCCATATATTTTCAAAACCATGTTATATATATATTTTAAAAAACACATTTTTTAAAATTATATATATACACATATATTTCAAAAGCATATGACATAATTATTTAATGACCCTAAAGGAAATGAGTGTCTACAATATTTAAACCCTAGGATTGATTATGTGAAATTTTAATGGTTTGTTCTTGCATTTTCTTCCATATTCATATAAATTTTCTGCATTTTGAAAAGAAAAAAAAGATCGATCCCTTTTGAAAAAGAGATACATCTCCTTTGGAAGATTAGCTATTATTTTGCTAAGGATTGATCCCCACAAAAAGAGATCAATCCCTTGGTTGTGTTCTTGATGAAAATAGGTAAAATTAAATTCATTAAAGGCCTAAAGTGTTCCCTAAGTCCTAGGATGGTCCTTAAACTTTAAGACATATTCAATTTGGTCCTGAACTTGATTTCTTAATTAAAGATTGGTTTTAAGTCGGATTTGGTTGAAATTTGTTCTATGACTTTATAATAATAATTTCATAATGGAACCTTAAATTTTATATTTTTTTTGTTTATTTTCATATTTTAAAAAGTTTACATTTAAGTACCTAAATTGAGCATGTTCAATTAGGTCCCCAAACGATATCCGATTAAGCTGAAATTTGGCATGTAAATAATTAAAGGCAAATAATTCATATTGGTGAGTTTGAATTCTACAGTTTCCATGAATTTGATAGCAACATGTGAAATGACTATTTTACCCTTACATAGTTAATAACATTTATGTTGTGATGTATGATTGTATGAATATCTTAAGATGTATGATTGTATGAATATCTTGCGATGTATGATTGTATGTATGAATATCTTGCGATGTATGATTGCATGAATATCTTGCGATGTATGATTGCATGAATATCTTGCGATGTATGATTGCATGAATATCTTGCGATGTATGATTGTATGAATATAGTAAGCGTGATTATGTTATATATATCATTATTATGTATTGCATGATGAATGTTTTATTTTAATTGCTTCTGCTTAGTACGCATGATTAGGGTTTTTGATCTGTTTGACTTGATCGGAATCTAACATGCACTCAAGTATTTGAGTCATTCTTTGTGGACGGGTATAAAGTGTTACAAATTCATTTGGATTCATTACTATTTCCCTTTGCTTAAATTCACTCGCAAAAATCTTGATTCATTTCTTTGTTCATTCCATCAAAAGTACATTGAAACCTCTGTCAATATCTCTTCACTTCTCTTCCATAGATGATTGTTTCTCCATCACCATTGCCATAATTTCTTTGTTGATTATTGATCCATCTTTCATTGATTTCTTTATTCCATTTTCCTTCATTCTTGATCATCTTTGTTGTTACCTCCCATTGTCACTCTTTGGTGGAATTATTTCTTCTTTAACTTCATTCTTCATCTTTTCTTCTTTTTCTATCAACGTAATTCCTAAAAGTTGATTTCTTTTAATGTTTCGATAATTAAAGATCCATGAAGAAGATGATCTTAATAGATCATGGTTTTCAATTGTGAGTTTTCTCAATTAAAGTGATTTTCAGAGTTAATTAATGATTTTATTTTATTATAAGATTTTTTAAGTGTTTCTTGAGTTTATTATGGTGTTTTTGAGATGAATATTATCATACTAAAATATATTTTTATAGGAATTGATTTGGAGATTGTTTTCTTAAAAATAAGCTTGATTTGCTATTTTTGAAAATCCATAAATTGATATAATTTTTGTTGTTCTTAGGTGTTTTGAATATGCTTAGGTGTTGATTGTGATCATTCTTTATCAACTTTAGGTTGAGGAAGTAAGTGCAATGTGTTAGATGTGTTAGATCGCTTGTGTGGTAAGAATTTCAGTTATTTGTTTGGTTTCCACTATATTTTGGTAGCATAATTTTTTGCTCTGTTTTTTATGTTTTGGTGACAAAATGTTTTCTAACATGTTCTTTAAGTCATTGATGAAGTATTTTTTTGCATCAACTATCAATAACGAGTAGATAGTAGTTTGAAGTTATTTTTATGCTTGGACCACCATTAAAGTGAGTGACTTTACATTCTTGGATGATGAATGTCATCAATGTTAAATGAGGGCTTAGTTGAGGGTATTACCTTAGATTAAGACCCTATGGTAAGTATGTTATTGATGTGAATTGAATGTATATATATGTTATCGATATATGAACAATGAATCATTAAGTTACACTTGATGTATATCAATTATGGAAAACCTATTTTGAGTGTGAATATTTATATATGTTGTGGGATGAGTGGAACAACTTTGCTATCTATGGATAAGTGAGCAACTTGTTGTGCAATAATGGTTGATCATGACAATCAATGTCATTTGTGTTTTAAATTGTGAATCGGAACGTAAAACTATGCATCTTGCATTGACTACTCTTGGTAAGCCTAGATTAATTGGCAATTGCTCTAAATAGGACCTTTGGATATGAAAGGCATGCCTAGAAAAGAGTACTCTATGTTTTCTATAAGTGTGTGATAGGGAATTCAAGTTGTAAGGTTGGTACGTTGAGCATAGCTCTAAATAAACTTTAGTGAGTCTACAAATAAAAAGGGAGATGTATGAAGTTCGTTTATTCATCGAGTGAGTTGTATTATGAACAAAGGTCATTGATCTAAAATTGGAATTAATTGTGTGTTATATGCGTGACTTGCCATAAAGGTAATTATGCATGAGTGTGTGTAGTTGACAATAATGAATGTGTTGAATTGAAACATGTTTATAATCTGGTGTTTGTATGCATTTAGAGTATATTATGTGTGCATCATGGCATGACATATTGGTATGAACATCGAGGTAAAAACATGTGAGGTTGCATGGCATTTAGAAGTGTTGCCCTTTAGCCTTGATACATGCATCACTTTGGAATGTTTAGTCATTCACTAAGATTTTAGCTCACACTCGTTGTTAATATTTTGTAGAAGATTGATTGTTGTTTTAGGAGCAAAGAGTGAACATTCGGTGGTGATCAAACAACGTTCAATTTTACTAAAGTGTATATGGACTTATTTTATAATCCAAGACAATGTGGGATCTTATATTAGGATTAGATTGGATAATGAGTTGTTGAATATGTTTGATTTCATAATGTGATATTGAATACTTTGAGTCTTTGAATAAATGCATGAGTTTGTTCTTTAATGATGTTGTGCATATACATTTATAATATCTTAACAGCCTTAAATGCTCACATGTTGTTATGTGCCTTAAATGAGTGTTTTGCGTGTTTAAACATGTGATAATATGTTTGTTAGAAGCCTAATTTTGTGTTATTTTGTTATGATGTTTTGCATGTTAAATGTTTACTTTGACAATTTCCATTTAGTATGCATGATCAGGGTTTTATTTGTTTGGTTCGCTTTGAAATCTAATGTGCACTAAAAATATTTGAGTTTTTTTACGTGGCTGGATATAGAGTGTTACATGGAGAGTAATGATTAGTGCAAAGATAATTATTAGTGGATGTTCTTCTGTAAGAGACAAGAAAAGAAGGGAGATGCGAATGGAAAGAATATTTCACTAGGTAGAGGATGCAAGAACTCAGGAAAAGCCCTTTATTCAATTTTTTTTTCGAGGGTATAAATTCCCAACCATAAGGTGGTTGGTGTCAGGCCTCTGTTAATAGATTAGTAGATTGTGCAAATATGCATGCCTACTATTAGATTTGGCTGTCAAAAGTCACATCAAAGATTGATAAGTATGGAGTTGAAAGCGATCCCGACAGAGGGTAATTCCAAAGATGATGTGGTGTCTCTGAGGGACTTTTAAATGCTCTACTTATAGAGTATAGTTCTTAGGAAATCTTTATTAACAGAGATTTAGTATTTTTTAAAGGTTTTCTCCGGAAGTATAATACTTTTTTAATAAAAATATAATAAAAACATTTTAATTAAATAATATTATAGTAATTAGAAATCCTAATTTACCTTTTTCTAAATGATTTTGCATATCTTATTAACCTATCCTCGTATTTTCAAACTTCTAATAAAGTGTTCATCTGATCGTTTGTTTACATTTTTAAATTTATTTTTTTATTGTGATTTAAGAAATAGTTATACAAAACATATTTTTTATATTTAATGTTTGTTTTATGTTTCCATATATGAGATTTATTTTTTATTTTTAGTATTTAAACTTAAATTATCGTTTCAAAAATGTGTTTGGATGGTAAAATTTGAAAGAAAATTATTTTTATAAAGATTTCTAATATTCTAAAAAAATTGTTTGTTTGATTAAAGATAATAGAAAAATATTTAAAATTTATCAAGATTTTACTTTTTTTTTCATAGTTTACTTTTAATTATTTTAATAATATAAAATAATTATAATATTATACATATTTAGAAGGATTCCTCCTCCCACGAAAAAAAAAAAACACTCGCATCTGCTATTGATTTAGCCCAATAAGTTCTAATTCATTCTCAACTAAATACGTGTATCTTATTTATTTTGAATTCATTTAATATACCTGATTTCACTATAAAATAAAATATTTAAATTATATATATATATATATTTACAAATTTATGAGAAAAGTATTGTATATATTTACTAAATGTTAGTACTCTAATTTTTTAACAATAAATTACAATTTAATATATACAAAACGTCTTTTTTCACCTAAAAAGTTCTTTCTTTTTGAAACATCATTTTTGTTCCATCCCCCATGGATCTACATGTTTCTGGTTTTATACCAACCATAAAGTTTCTAATTGTGCCCGCGTTTCAAATAATAAGTGATATAAACTGAATTAATTGTGGGTTTGAGTACGAGTTGGCTTGCAGTTGAAAGTGGACAGCCGAAAGCGGAACCCTAGAAACCTTATTCCCTCGGTCTTCATCTGCAAAATGGCAGGTAATTTGGGGGGAAATCAATTTCAATTTCCCTCAAACTGAAGGAGAAGAAGCTGAGCGATAGAGACCTTCCTTGCAGTTATTACCAAGTCATGTGGACGAATGTTTTTAGAATCGTATGTCGCTTATTCATTTCTCTTTTAGTTTCCATGTTTTGTTTTAAATTTCTTTTCTCCTGATCGAACTAGGGTTTTTGTTTGTGCTGTTGAACTCTTTAATTCATTTGCGAACTAGAGAATAATTCCTGATCGAACTAGGTTGAAGTTCGACTAACCTTGCACTGGTTAAGGATTACATTCTAGCTAACTTATTTGCGGACTGGCAGTTAGGTTTTTCTCTCTCTCAATTTTGTTTTACTTTATTTGTTTAATCATTTGTATTGAAAAATGCTGTGCAAAATTTTGAAGGTGATAAAGAAACTTTAAGTTACATTAAAGGATTGGCAACCCATCCGTCCTGCTAATCTTAGGATTATATACTTCATTTAACAGGGATCGATCATGCTGCACCTTTTTAGGCATTTTTATGATGTTGATGCGAATTTTGTATTTTCCTAAGATTCTGAATTTTAATACACAGAAGATTAAATCATTTCTTTAACATTGAACATGGGCTCTTTCTACAGGGAGGTCTCAGTCAAGTATCATGGTTCCAGTTTCTTCCTGTTGAATCTGATTTAAATTCGCTCCCTGATAAAAGGTTAATAACCAAGGCATCTATTTTCTCTTATCTTTCTATGCATCTCTTGGAGCTTTTAAGAAGTAAATTATCATGGTTACTGTGTAAACAACCAGTTATTTATAATTTGCTCTTGAGGCTGCACAGAATAAAAGTAGAGCAGAAAGATGCTGCTACATTGTTAGTTCTCTCATCCCATCTGCAGCTACAGAAGGAGGGATTTCTTAGTGCATGGACCAATTCCTTTGTTGGTCCCTGGGATCCATCTCAAGGTCGACATAATCCAGGTTAGGGTCCAATCTTTCTTTTTGACAACGAACTTTGCCGTGGATTAACTTTGAAAGAAAGATATAAGATTCACTATTTTTTTTTTATCTAATGGAGTTTTTTTATGCATATAGATGAGAAAATTAAGCTATGGCTTTTCATCCGGGGACGTCATGGATCTGTTGTGGACTCTGCACAATCTGCAGTGTCCAGGTTAAGAGGTATCAGATAGCCCCGAGTTTCTATTGTTGTCTTTGTTCTTTTCTTTTCTTTTCTTTAGTTATATGTATTCAACACTTATCTATGAGGGAATTTGTAGATTAGAGTGGCACTCCTCTTTCAGAACTAAGTTTTCTTTTTCATCCACATGGCACTTTTGCTTATGCTATATTTACTGTATGAATGCACTATTTTTTACTCATCTATTTATTTTGTTGAAGTTGTTGCTTCTGGACTTTGGTTGGCTCCTGGTGATTCAGAGGAGGTTGCTGCTGCCCTTTCTCAGGCTTTAAGGAATCGCATTGAAAGGTTTGTTTTATCCCTTGAATAAATCTTGGATAAGTTTTGAATAGACCTGTCCTCATCAAACCAGGATTTGGACGTGATTTTTAGGCCTTAGTCTGACCCACATTAGTATTTAGTTAATAATTTTTTTTATTTCAATTAATTCTGAAAATGTGTAAATAATTAATAACATAATATTTTTTTGATGTTTTTAATAGTCAAACAGACTTATTGGGCCTGATGAATCAGGCTGAGCCATGGGAAAGAAAATTTTATAGTCAACTGTGCTTGGCCTGGCCTAGTTCACGGACTGGTCTAGTCATAATCATGTCTAATTTAAACTTTACAGGGCACTTTTGGGACTGTTCTACATGAGATTTGGTGATGTATTTTCAAGGTTTCATCCTCCACAAATTGAAGAATCTATCAGGTATGTTTATATTTGTTGTCAATTGGTGGTACTTTAATTTGAACAAGTAGATATTGTGTTGCTAAAAAGACCATGGTTATTGTTAATCTATAGTACTTGAGGCCGATGATGTTTGCTCCAGTGTTAAAAAGGGCGCAAGGCGCACTAAAGCGATAGGGGTTTTATAGCCAAGACGTAGAGCGCAAGATGTGCGCCTTATTGAAATGAGGCGACATTTAAAAAATAAAAGATATACAAGTTTTTTCTAGTTGTATAATCAAACAAAAAGAACAGTTCATGCAATATAAATACCAAAGAGTACTCATTATTAGCATTTTTTGTAGTAAACATCACTTTTGTTCCATCAACCATTGAACCTTGAGAACCCAAGCAAACCCCGTCCTTGGTCCACAATTCCACATTAGAAACTGAAACAATAAAAAGAAGTCCAATAATGAGTTGGCATCAACTTCTTACTTGTCACCTTTTTGTCTATCCACCTCGCATCTCTCAACAAACGTGTCTTCCTCCTTGTTAACACCACCTACACCCTAAATCCCTCATTTGTCCACCCTAATCCTCCATTTTCGTATGTCTAAATTGTGCTTTCAAGATTTTCTTTCTTTCTCATGGATTCAAATTTCATCGTCTGCTAAATGTGCTTCTCAAGAACCTGTTACTATTCAACAAAACTCACTAAAACCTATCTTTTCCTCCCTCGATTTTCAATTCGTGTATGCATGCTTCTCTCATTTTGCCTGCCCAGTCGGTTGTCTTTTTTAAGACAAAAAATGACCTCTATTCATTCCCCTTTGTTTCTCTCTTTCAAACTTTAAGACAAACAAAAATTATATAAGGTAAAGCACACACCCCCTTTTATCTGTATTTCACGCCAAATTTTCATACGTCTTCCATGAAACTCTCTTTTCTAGTCACCCCACCATATTTTACTCTTTTCTTCATCGACATTTCATTTTTACTTATTTTTTGTTGTTGATATATAAGTTAGTGTGTAAAACATAATAAAAAAGGCAAAAAAAAAAAAAAAAATGAAAAGGCGGCGCCTTTCTGCTCCTTAGGCACCCCTTGCTGCACTTCATTGAAAGCGCCTCACCTAGACCTAATTAGGCGCTTCACCCTCGCCTTAGCCCCTAGGCGTGCCTGAAGTGCGCCTTTTTAAACATTGGTTTGCTCCCTCTCCTCCATGACTTAGAATTCATCCTTTTATTGTGATTTTTCCGGCATTTGCACTACCATTCTTAGGAATGCCATTGCCACCAATTAGAGGAAGAAGCCGACTGCCACTTGTTTAAGAACCAAGAGATAAAAGGGTCTTTAAAGAGATAAATCGAATAAAGTGAAAGTGAAAATAAACAAAAACAACAAATAAACCGTAGAAATTAAGGATTTAGGAAAAATAGATTAAAATGATACTCTGAATTTCTTGATTGATTAGAAAGAGTATACAAGCCTTATTTAAATAGGTTGATTAGAAGTGTTTGAATACAACTACAATTAATCCTAGATAAGGTTCCATCCTATTTAGAGAATAAAAGGATAAAGTTATAGTTAATCTAAACTATTAAATCAAATAGGATAGAGTTATAGTTAATCTAAACTACTAAATCAAATAGGATAGAGTTCTAGCTAACCTAAACTACTAAATCAAATAATTTAATGCTATTTCACATGGCAATATTCTACACTCCCCCTCAAGCTGGGAATATGTTGAATATTCCCAAATTGGATGAAAAATCATCTAGAACGGGTCTTGAAAGAGCTTTAGTAAGGATATCAGCCAATTGGTTAATTGTTTTGTGTTGTGGGTTTTGGTAGTTTCTTAGGTGTTGGGATTGGTTATGTTTTTGAGTTTTTTTTGTACTTATGGTGTTATTATGGTTTGCTAATAAAATTGAGGTACTTTTTTCCTCCTTTCTATGTTTGTTGAGACACTTTCTAGTGTTTCTACGGATATGAAGGGGTTTTTCAATGAGACCTCCCATTTAAAAAGAAAATGCTCAATTGCTTACTTTTTTCGAGATAAAATGTCTATCTATCTCCAACCCGTGTTTTATCCGCTATCCGCATTTGAAAAAGGCATAAAGGTATAAGAAGCCGCTGGACTTTTTTCGAAAAATAAGTTAGGCCCCCTTTTTTGCGTCCAATCTATACCTCCAACCCAAGATTTTCATCAAGTTTTCCCTTTGACCAACAAAAAATATTATTGACTGTTCAAATTTAACATCCGTATACCAAAGTTATCAAAGGCTCAAAGCGTATCGAGGCGCAAAGTATCCTAGAGCCTTGAGCCGCGAAGCGCATGAAAGGCGCGGGATTCACAAAGGCGAGGCGCATGATATCCAAAAAATTGTAATACATGTATATATTAATGCAATCAAACTCAAATATCATAGATACCCAATATTAGGCTTCAATAGAGTTCATTCTCAAACTCAAATACCAACCTAACGTCATAAAAGCTATCGACAAGCATAATCAAGTACTAAGTTTAACAAAAGCATCCAACATGCATAAACAAAACATCAAATAAAGTCACTGATAATCATCATCAAACATCAAACGTGACACATGTCACTCACGTTTTTATTAACAGTAGAAACCTAAAAGTGTAACGGAAGAAACATTATACACTTATTTTTAATAAAAAAATTTAAACATCAAAAATTAATTTTAAATATGATTTAGACATTTAATTTTATATTAATCATTATTTAGAAAAGGTAAAATATAGAACTGTTGTTAGACGTAAATTTTTAATTACAATTAAATTAATATAAATAAATATCCACATCAACCGGTCACAAAACGTTCCACGTCATGACTTTATCCATTCCCCATGAGTACCTGCGACAACTAAAGATTTTTCTTCCCGCCAATCAAAATACGACACATTACCATAGCTTTTGTGTTTAAAATTACTCACTAGTCACTTTCTCCTTTTCTTCACCTTCTTATTCGTACGAAGACAAACCACCGTTCAAAATCCCCCCCACCGACCTTTTTGTTCTTTGTAGAAAATGAATCCAAATAAGACAGCGGAGGATGAACAACACCTATCCATCGCTGTCGTGAACCGCCATATCCAGTGGCTGTCCCTTCACCTGACCCCACTTCTATCGCTCCAACCTTCACACCAACTCAACATGCTAACGTACGCCAAGTCGACCAATAAACTAAAGGTTGACAAATCCTCCCTGAAGAGCTACATGAGAGGGAAAAAACAAGGAAACACGAGAAAATCATCGAGTTCTTTGAGTCGAGGCCCGATTTGTAAACCCCGGTGGGGATTCCGATAAAGGAACACAAGGTTTTAAGCCCACATCGCGCCTCGACTGAGCCTCGCGCCTCAGAGCCTTGCTGTGCCTCACTGAGCCTAGGTGCGCCTAGGCTACGTGCCTCGCTTCAGTGTTGAAAAAGCCCCTTTCAGTGAGCCTCTGCGCTTTTGCGCCTCAGGCGCGCCTTAGGCACGCTTTTTACAACTATGCCGTATACTTGGCAATTAATCATGTTTTTCTTTAACCGTTGGTCTAGTTGGCTTGCCACATGTTTTATGATGTGGCATGGTAATTTTGTTGCTGAATTGTGTTAATAAATGTAATCAAATTATTGTATTTAAGAGTTAAATTTGTTCCAGTTTTAAACCCACCTGGACCTAAAATTGGAATCGCTCTTCTCTACTTTCGTCAAGCCTTTTCTTCAAAGCCAAGGCAATCAAACAAAATCTCTCTTCCTCAACAAACTCGTTTCATTTTTCTTAGAAAATTTCTAGTTGGCCTTTAAACCAAGATCGAATTTTAACCCTTTTACTCACCGGATCTCTAATGTTCACATTTAGATCGAATTATTTGCAGATCTTGAAAGGTACATAAGACTTATTGGTTAGTTCAATTATCTTATTTTTACACGTCATGATATTGCTTATCTGGTAAGTGTGCGGAGTCTGTATGTCTGTGTTTAAAAAAGCGCCGCTTAAGCGCGATTAAAGCGCTAAGCGACTCGAGCGAGGCCCCTAGCTCTTCAGCATAGCAAAAGCACTACGAATTCATTAAGCGGTAGTAATCGGCGCTTTTGCAACGCTTTTAGAAAAGCGCTAATCGGCGCTTAATCGTGAGTTTAGAAGATGCGATTCTGGGCTTTAGCAGATACGATTTTTGGGCTTGTTTAGGGTTTAGCGGGCTATTAGATTATCAGGCTTAGATCGGCTTTTAGTTTAGGCGGGCTAGTGTAAAAAATCCTATCTCTAGTAGACCGTCTCGTAGATGCTTAGTTGATGAAGATGAGATAGAAGAAGATATTGGAGTGTCTAGTGATGAAGGAGATGGTGTTGTCCGAGTTGATGACGATGACGATGACGATTTAGAGGCTTTTTAGTTATAAGGAATTGAGGGTTTAGAAAAATACTTTTGTTCATCTCACTTTAGACTACTTTTGGTGTAGACCATCTTTTGAGATTAATATGCTCGTATAGTCGTATGGTTAATGGTATATAATTATTTAAGTGTTTATAACTTATAAGTAAATTGAGAATTGTATTTTGGTGTTTAAGTACTTATAATTTTTGAATATATGCATTGACAATTTGATATTTAAGTATTTATAAGATAATTTATAAATATTCTGTATTTTTTTGTGAATTTCGGCCTTTCTGGCGCTTCGTGTGCATAAAGCGAGCGCTTTCGCTTAGCGCTTAGGCGTCTAGGACCCTAGGCACTTTAGGGCGCTTTACGCTTTTTAAAACCAAGCTGTATGTCATCACTCGCAGTTGATCAGTGGAAGGCATTGGAAAAAATTCTGCATTATTTGAATTGAGCTCATGGATGTGGAATTTTATATGGAAGTCATGATTATACTAGGATCAAATGTTTTTAGATTCAGATTGTGCAAGATGTAAGGAAGATAGGAGATCTACTTGTGTGTTTGTTGGAGGAAACTTGATTTAATGAAAGAGTAAGAAACAAAATGTGGTCTCATGATGCAGTGCAAAAGGTGAATATTGAGATATGGCCAAGTTTGTGTGAAATCATGTATATATAAACTCCTCAGTGAAGTAGGAATTAAGGTTTCAGTACCTACAAAGCTGTGTGTGATAATCAAGTTGTGCTTCACATTGCTTCCAATCTAGTTTTTCATGAACGAACGAAACACATTGAGGTTGCTTGTCATTTCATTCTCGAAAAGATTCAGCAAGGTTTGGTTACTACCGACTATGTGAAAACTGGAGAACATCTAGGAGATATTTTCACAAAAGCTCTTAATGGGTCTGGATTGTTTATCTATGTAATAAGTTGAGCACGGTTAATATCTATGCTCCAACTTGGGGGGAGTGTTACAAATTGTAGGCTGAATTTTACTTGTACAAATACCCATAATGTTGATGAATGAATATAAGAGAAAGTATTCTATTCCAGAATTCTACAAGTTAAAAGTAGATGAAGAGAAAAGCTGCAAAAATTTTGTTTCATAACTTCTGTTAGCTGTATTTTTCTTCTGGCTAGTCTTCAGTTATGTCATAATAATTTCTTTTATTATTTTGCAGGAGAGTACATCCTACAATTGAGTTCATCTTTGCTGCTACTGAAGAATCTATTTTTTGTACATGCTATAATATCCTCAAAGTTCGTGAAGCTTGGCATCTTACGCTTCTAGCAGTTTGCAGTTTTGTAGTTTTATGATTTTCCCTTCAATATGCTCTTATACCTATTTTAATTATATTTTCAGGCATATCCGGACACTTTCAACTGGTGATATTGAGAAAGTGCTGGAGCATTCTTCTAATAATACCAGTTACCTGCTTCCTGGTTTGTTTATTGCTCTTCTCTATTGTAGTTTCTGAATGCGACTTTGAAAAGGCTTGCTAGTGCTTTTGTATGTGTAAGAGTGAAGAGGTCATCTTGTATGATTTGTTAGTTAAATTTCCTGCTTTTTTGAATACTAGGCTATCCATTATTTCAACCTGATTTTAAGAGGCCAGTTATGCAAAATTTAGCTGCATTGAGAAGCTTTTTGATTTTGTTCATTCTGATGTTTGGTTTTAGTGATAATCTCCCCACATGGAATGTGTGGAAGGCTCACAGGGTGTTGTCCGAACGATCTAGTCAAGCAAGTCTATCTCAGGTGGTCTTTATTTATAATCTGTTCATTTGTACTTTTCGCACCCTTTTTTGTTATTTGCAACTAATCCCTCTATAGTTATCGTGCTTGGATTAATATTTTCCTTTTGCTGCAAATTTCTTCTTTTTCAGCAACTCCGGGAAAAATAGTCTACCATATCATACTTCTCAAAGTTCTGCTTGCCGGTTGAGGGGTCAAAACTGCTATGTCAAAGTTAGTTTTGGATGCTCGAAATATAGGAGTGATAAGTCACTGAACCCAAATCCTGATCATATCAGGAATTTACCCAAGCACCAGTCTACTGACACTTATACAATGGGAAGAGGATACCAGAAGGGATCAGCAGATCCCTTGTCAGTACATGAGAAAACATTTATCTATCCACCTGAGGTTGTGCTTGTCCCTGTTTTGCAAATATCCTTTGCTAGATCCTCTTTGAGAAGGTATGTTCGAATTCTGTGGCAATTCATTTGCTGCCAGTGTTGATTTGTGTGCTATGATCTAGCTTGAGAACTGGCAAGGTCAACTTTCTCAAGCAGGTGGTATCTAGCATTTTGTGATATTTAAAGCAGCATCCTTTTAAGACATTTCATTCTGTTTTTTAGGGTTAAACATCTTTGTAAAGATGAACTGATGATACCATACTACTTTTTCCTCTTTGTAAACTTATTTGTGTGACACACTTGCAAAAGCTTATATGTTAACTTGCAGATTCTGGTTACAAAATTGGATAGGACCTTCATTGGCTGGTTCATCCTTTTTTAGGCATTGGTTAGTATTCTCTCTCTGACTGCGTCTCTCTCGCTCTCTCCCTCCCTCTCCCTCTCTTGCTCCCTCTTTATCTCTCTTCCCTTCTTACCCTCATATTTTCTTATTTGTCTGTTAACTTTCATGCTTTGCCTTCTTGTAGTACTAATTTATGTATTTAAGCATAAGAACTGTGAACCAATAAATTCACAACCAAAAGAAATTAAATGATTCATAAAAGTTCCTTGGTATCTGCTCTAGCCAAATTTAATACCAATTTTGAGACTGATTAAGGTTAGCCACAAACAGGATTGCACAATTGAACAAATATAAGAAATGACCAACAACTTCCTATTTTGTGCGCAATATCACAATCAAGGTGCACCTACACATTCACGTAAACATTGGACAGGCAGAACTCTAATTTCACTTATTTATGTATTTAAGCGTAATAACCGTGAACTAATAAATTCACAGTCAAAAGAAAAAGCTTTGCCAAAAAATGCATGGAATTACCGTTCTAGATGAAGAAATTAAATGATTCATGAAAGCTCCGTGGTATCTGCTGTAGTTAAATTTAATACCAATTTTGAGAATGATTAAGGTAAGCCACAAACAGGATAGCACAATTGAACAAATATAAGAAATGACCAACAGATTCCTATTCTGTGCGCAATACCACAATTAGGGTGCACCTACACGTTCACATAAACATTGGACAGCCAGGACCGTAAATTTCACTTATTTAACTGGAGGAAAATTACATACGTTATCCTGACATTAATGAATTGTCTGTTCGTTACTTCATACCACAATTGATTAGCATTTTTTGCACATAGCTTTTTTTTTGATAGAAATAGAGTAGGCCTCATTAAAAACCCCCCTCATAACCTCCATGTTACAACAGTAACGTGAAGGACATTGGAAGGAGGAAAAGAGTGCCTAAGATTTAATTAATATAAGAATAATACAAAGCCAGATCCTACAAACTTGTGAAACAACATAACACTTAAACAACAAACTAACACCACAAAAACAACCAACTCCGAAACATAACAACCTAACCCATATCCTATCAGCCTATTCCTTCTTTAGCTAATTTATCCGATTCCCAATTAGCAGCTCTAAAAATATGCCTAATGATAATGTCTTTACTATCCAGTAGGGTTGTAATTTCTTTCACCAAAGGCTGAAACATAGGAGTACATAGAGCTGGATTTTTAATCCACTTTATTGCAGTAAAGGAATCCGATTCAAGGATAACCCTTGGCATTGGAACCAAAACTAATTCCTCCATAAGCAGCAACCCTCTCTTGATAGCCATTAACTCTGCAAGAATAGGAGGACCACTCCCTATCCTCTCTGAAAACGAACCCAGCAGCCGACCTTAAGAATTCCTTATCAGACCCCCTATGCCTCCTTTAACCTAATCCTTAGACATCGCACCATCAACATTTAATTTAACAAATCTAGAAGGGGGAGAAACCCAACAAGATGATAAAGAACTACCCTTCTTCTTCCTTCCCACAAAATTTGCTAGTTTAACATCACACACTAGGGAATCAAAATTAATCTTCACATCTTGCCACAAACCATGAAGCAATTCTGAACTGAATAATGAAAAACAAAAACGAACCATCCACCTTCCCTTTCTCAAAAACAATTTCATTTCTGCACTTCCAAATCGACCACAACACCGCCCTTGGAATAAATTTCCATATAACAAAACTCGGAACTAGACTATTCCAAACCGTGAAGAAGGTCAACAACCTCTGCGAAACCTCAAAAGAGACATTCCAAGAAGACAAGAATCTGCTCCTCAAACACCAAACCACCTCACAATGCAAGAAGAGATGATCAACCGACTCCACACACTTGCCAAACAACGGACACAAAGAGTCATCAATCCCTATCACTCCTCGCTTCAGCAATTCCTCCCTAACTACCACTCTCTGATGAAGAACCTGCCAAATAAATGATTCCACCCTTGGCAGAGCAACCCCAACCCATATTACGCTATCCCAAATATCTTCGTTAACATCAGTACCAGTCCCATCAAAGTAGCACTTAATACATGATTTAGCAGTAAAACATCCTTCCCCATTCCCTGTCCACACCCAACAATCTTCTTGAAAAGCTGACAATGAAAGACTACTCAACATAAGCTGAAGCCATTGTTCCACTTCCCAATCAACCAAATTTCTCCTCAATTGTATATCCCAACAGCTACCTAAAGAAGAATTCACCCTGAACTCAGCAACTTTACCCCTTTATTAATCGAGAGAGCAAAAATTATGGGAAACCGATCTTTTAACGGAATCGAGCCCACCCAAGAATCCTTCCAAAACTGCACTGTCTCGCCATTTCCCGTTTTTAAACACAAGTTTTTCCTTAAACAGTCCCCAAAATCATCATTGGCAAAAAAATTCTTTACAACTCCTTTCCAAATCCACAAAGCACTGTTAGGCCACGAATTCCTAATCACACATGAGTTCGGATCCAAATTATACACGCAGCAAGCAACTCTCTTCCACCACGAATCCTTCTCTGATGCAAATTTCCAGACCCATTTGCCCAACAATGCCCTGTTCAACAGAACTAAATTAGGAATTCCTAAACCCCCAACCTCTTTGGCTTACACCAGCTTCCAATTAATCCAATGAATATTTCTTTTTTCTGTTGACCCCCCCAAAGGAAGGCAGCCATAATAGAATTTAACTTCTTAACCACACCAACTGGAATTCGGAAAATAGAGAGAGTATGTAAGAAGAGAACACAACACATATTTTACCAAAACAGCCCTTCCAGCAAGAGATAAGGAACTAGCCTTCCAACCAGCCAACTTCGAATAAAATCATTGAACAATTGGCTCCCACAAGGCAACCGAGTTTCTCTTGGACCCCAACGGTAATCCTAAATACTCTGCTGGAAAAATCTCCACTGAACAGCCAATTTCCTTTGCCCAGCCTGATATCACTTATGGCTCCATATTAATGCCGAAGATTCTGCTCTTGGCTAATTTTAACTATAAACCCGTCAATAATTCAAAATTAATTAGCACCCTTCTAGTGTTCTTCAAATCTTGAATAGAGGCCTTAATAAATATAATTAAATCTTCCGCAAATTGCAAATGCGACAACAAAAAAGAACGCTCATGGTTTCCTAACTCAAAGCCCGAAAACAGCCCCTTCTCCACTGCTTTGGCCAGCATCAAGTGTAACAGCTCTCCAACCAAATTAAAAAGCATAGGAGAAAGTGAACAACCCTGTCTTAGACCCCTTTTAGTATGGAATCTCCGTAGGAGACCCATTTACAAGAACCGAAATGGTTGTTGTAGACACACTGAAAAATCTAAGAACATCACTTGTCTCCAAACCCCATTTCACGCATAATTTTCAGCAAAATTGACCAATCCACTGAATCATATGCTCTTTTGAAATCTACCTTAAACACAACCCCCTTCAATCCTTTTTTCCTCCAGAAATCGATGCCTTCATTAGCGATAAACGATCAATCCATTATCTATCTCCCCGGTATAAACGCAAATTGTGCCGGGCTTATTATCTCGTTAATGCACTTACTCAGCCTTCTAGCTAAGACCTTGGATTGGATAGAATTTTTTATAATCCTCCAACAAGACTAATAGATACTGCATTCTTTACCTATGGTCTCTAAAGGGACTTGCAGGCACCCCTATATGAAATGCATTCATCACAAAAATCCGGACTTGACTATTTTAGTGATATGGTGAATCATTAACCACAGTGACTAAAAATATATTAACCATGATTGACCTTGGGTGTAAGTAATTTTAGTTCATTGAATTGTCATGCTCCTCTTATCCTGTTATTAATTTTTGCAGTGATGGCAATATAGATTTCCTGGAAAAATCCTGGGTTGATTTCAGTGGAATACTCTCACAGCATTGCTATAACAGCAGCAGCAATAGTAATAATAGCAGCATAAGTTCTATAAGTAGTAGTTCCAGTGAAAGTGTGACCACAGGAGCTCGTGGCATGGAGGCAGATTCAGATTCATCATGTAGACAGTCAGGCTTATCTTCTAATGATCAGATGGAGACTGATCACCTCAAAGTGGTCTCTTTCGTATATATTTTTTAGTTTAACTTTTTCTTAAATTTTACTTGCTGTTGATGAATCCATACAAGTGTCGATTCTGGATAGGAGAGTTTCATGCACGCAATCATAAAATATCCACCTCAAGATGAAATAACAAATGTGTTCTTCTGTAAACTTGGTAAAAGAGAGTAATGCAAAAAAACTTGTATAGACTATACTTGTGTGCTCATCTTTTATTTGTTAAATCATAAATCCATTGGGAAAAGTCCACTTCTGTGGTAAGTTACCTATTTGGATGGAGAGTACTGCAATGTTCATCTGAGTTGATTAAACATGATTGAAGCCCAAAAAGTGGGGTTTAGATTTTATCCTGAATTGTAATAGCTTGGTATCTTTTTCACTTGTATAGGGGACTGAAATCAGCTCCCTTTGTTGCATGTATTAAGCATTTAGCGAGGAAATAACGACTTGTGTATGGGTTTTGAATGTGAAGCCATTTTCGCTATTTGAATTTAGAAGTCGATAACATGTTCGTTTGTTTTATTCTTTTCAAATTCATAAAATTATGTTCGTTCACTAAAATTAATAGTTATGTAGGGTTCCAAGCGTCCTCGAATTGGGATGACAGAGTCATATGGTCAAGCAGGTACGAATGTTCCAACTGGAGACACATAAGTCTAATATTGGTTCCATGGAAGTTAAAAGGTCAGTGATTGCAGGTGTTGGAAATGATCAAATTGGTTCTAATTGGGATTGGGATGACGACGACAGAGGAATTGTCATGGATATTCAATCTCTTCTCTCTGAATTTGGAGACTTTGGCGACTTCTTCGAAAATGATGTACTGCCATTTGGGGAGGTATTGTCTTTTCATTCCATACATACTGTTATAAATGCTGCATTTTATTAGGTGTTTGTACCATTTTGGCTTGAACATCTCAGAGATTGTATGGATGAGGGATTTAGAGGAAGAGTTTGATTTTCTATCAAGATTTTCAAAATTAACAAGGAATTTCGAAAGGGGATTTGAACGATCCAAATTCTTTATTAAATTCAACCTTAAGAGATGGTTTTTCAAAATTCATTAAAATTCTTCTTTCATTTATGGACGTGGTCCTACTGTAAAAAATTTAACCTACTAAATATCATTTTATTTACTCTAATATACACATATTTTATATTTATTAATATTGATATATATTTACAAAACTATTGATAACCATATTGTATATTTTTTAATGTCTATATATGTATTATTTAATATCATTATTTTTGTAACCATTTTTATGTCATGAAATTCCAATAAATTTAAAAATATTTATCCAAACAAAATAATTACAAATACCAGCATTTAAAATGCATTTTAAAATATCTTACTCTTATGTTTCTACAAAATTTTAAAATTCCTCATCCAAACGTGAGCAAACCTAGGAGAGGAAAAAACATTCTTGTTTTCTATCTTCTAAAGAATCAATAGATTATCTTACTCTTATGTTTCTACAAAATTTTAAAATTCCTCATCCAAACGTGAACAAACCTAGGAGAGGAAAAACATTCTTATTTTCTCTATCTTCTAAAGAATCAATAGATTACAACTTATTTGCTATGTTTAGAGGGTTGTGGGAAGAATTGTGGGTGTTCTGATGGTAATATCCTGGTGTTTTATATGGTGTAATTCCTTTTGAAGCAATAAAATTTTGAGTCACTCTTTTCCTCCTCATGTCCGTTGAGTTACTTATGTAGCTTGACGGTTATGAAGGGGCTTTTTAATGAGGCCTCTCTTTCCTATAAAAAAAATAGGAAAGTAGGCAGTGAACAATAGGAAATGATTCCTAAAAATTAGGAACTAAGATTTAAAGACTATTTATACTAAGTCAACTCCTAGAAATAAGGAATAATTTTACTCCTTAATTCTCAGAATTCCAGCACTCCCCCTCAAGCTGGTGTGTAGATATTGATCAATCCCAACTTGCCACTAAGGTCTTCAAACATGCTTTTATTTAAACTCTTAGTTAACAAGTCGGCTGTAGGAATTATAGAAATGAGCTGTCAAGAGATTCTGTAATTATTTTCTGTTTTTCAAATCCCTTATTTCAAGGGATTACATCTCCTAGGATTAGTATCTTTGCTAACTTAGAGTTTCCTAGTTTAGAGGCATAATTTGTATATAAATATGTAATATGCTTCTATTGAAAGTATGCAAGAATAAAATAACAGACTTGACTGTTTCCTACAGTCTGTTTTCTACTATACAGTCTGTTTTCTTTCTATAGTATGATTTCTACATGGTATCAGGTTAGAGCGATCAATCCGATTTCCGCTTCTCTTTAAATCAATTCCTGTTCAACTCTATTTTTTTTCATGGCTAATCGTGATCCCTCAGTATCATTTGCATTTTGTCGATGACCTGTTAATTTTCTGTGGTGCTTTGGAAGGGTAACTAAAGTATGTGAAGAGAGTATTGACCATTTTTGAATTGTGTTCGGGGCTTCAACTAAATTTGTCTAAGAGCAAAATTTTTGGTAATAATGTTGATGAATAATGCATCAAAGCATGGGCAGACTCGATTAGATGCTCGGTTGGATTCTTTCCAAAGGAATACCTTGGTCTTCCCCTTGGTTCGACGAAAAATTCTATTACGTTGTGGGATCCAATAATCCATAGATGTTACTAGAAATTGACGGGTTGGAAAGCAAATACTCTTTCTCTGGCAGGGAGGGAAGTGTTGGTGAAGTCGGTTTTAAACGCTTTGCCAATTTATTTTATGTCGTTTAGAATGCCGAATAAGATTTGAGGAAACTAAATTCTATTACTGTAAACTTCTTATGGGGTGGTTCATCTTAAAAAATCGTATCCATTGGGTGAATTGGCAGACTGTGTGCAGACCTAAAGGTCAAGGGGGTATCGGTGTAATTGATTTAAACTCTATGAATAGGTCTCTCCTGGGAAAATGGGCATGGAAGTTTGCTACGGAAAAAAGTCTTGGTGGAAGAAATTGGTGTGCTGTAAGTATAATTTGGATAATAGATTAAGTTTGATGGACAACAGTGTATCCTGCAAGTCATCTTTGATTTGAAGAGGAGTGGTTAATAACTGCTGGGCGAATGATGCTTTTGGTCATTGTTTTAGGAATCATTTTAAATTATGAGTTGGAAAGGGGAATGATTTCATGTTTTGGTCTGATAGGTGGATTTGCAATGTCTCGCTTAGATTGAAATTTACGAGATTGTTCTCCCTTTCCGTTAATAAAGAGGGTAAAATATTCGTGTTTGGCTTTTATAATGTAGGGGTTGGTGTTGGGATATACAGTTTCGAAGAAATTTATTGGATTGGGAAATAGAGTTGTGGGTAGAACTACTATTGTTTTTAAGCAATGGGAGTATCCGAAATGATGCAAAGGATCAATGTGTATGGACGAGGAATGGGGAAGGCGTTTATTAAGTAAAATCATGCGTTAAATTATTGTCAGAAGGGTCTGCTGAAGATCCAATTTGGTCGAAGCTGGTTTGGATCGGTTATGCTACCCCAAGAGTGGAGGTGTTTATGTAGCAGGTTTTGCATAAAAAATTGGCTATTAAATCTGAACTTTTAAAGCGTGGTGTTATTGGGACAGAGAACACTTTATGCCCGCTATGTGGTTTGCTTCAAGAGAGAGTTTCTCACCTTTTTTTTTGTGTTCTATTGCGTGAGGCCTTTGGGGGTGTTTCTTAAGATTGTGGAACTTATCCACGGTCCTTCAGAGCATCCTAATGTGTTATTATCGTCTTGGGAAAGCCTTGTTCCGAAGTCTATAATATGGAATTTTATTCCGGGAGCTGTAATGTGGTTAGTTTGGAAGTGTCAGAACCATGTGATTTTCGAGAAGGGAAACATTGATCTTAATCATTTGTTCTTTTCTTCTAGATATAGAATGACGGCGTGATTTTTGGCGAAATTTCCTAATTTTCCATTTCACTTTGATTGCCTTGGTGGTGACCCGAAGCTGGCTAATTTAAGTAACCCGTCCATGAAGATTAATCTTTCACCGGTCTCGTGGAGTCCCCCTTCCATGGGTTTCTTTAAAATTAATGTGGATGGGGCAGTAAAAAGAGAAGGGGAAAGCAACGTTATTGGGGGAATACTAAGAAATGAAGAGTCAAGGTTTTAGGCTCATTTTCGGCTTCGGCTGCTCCAGGTCCCCCTATTTTAGCTGAATTGAAGGCTATCCAAGCTGGTTTAGTTTTGTTTGTGGATTCAAAGTGGTGTGGCAAGTGTGTTCTACCGTATTTTCACAGCTAGCTAAGGGAACTATTAGTGTTGTTTTCGAGCATTATGTCATTTTAAGGTTTGTAAAAAGGTCTGCGAATTGGGAGGCGACAACTTGGCTAAGGCAGGTATAGAGTAGTAGTTCAGTTTGTGTGGTTGTAGAGAGTGTTGGGGGGTGTTTGTAATAGCCGGTTGTCGTATGAATTGTAATTTATTTTTGGAATAACATTTAAGGCACTCTTTTCATCCTTCCAATGTCCGCTGATGTATTTTTGTACAGCAGTGGTTATGAAGGGGATTTTTAACGAGGCCTCGTTTCTTTATTAAAAAAAAAGACAATGAACAAAGGCATTGCAACCAAATATTTTAGTTGGTAGAGTAGGAACACATATTGGTGGGAAGGTTTTTTGTAGGGCATTTAGTGGTGTTTGGAGGTTGAGGACTTTGGATGGCATTCGATTTAATAGGTAACATGCAGTGAGGACTGCCTCCCTCCACAAACATTTTGGGACATTCATGGTGAACATTAGGGCACGAGCAACGGCTAGAAGGTGTCGATTTTTTTCTCTGGAAAATTCTGTCTTGGTGTGGTGTGTTAGGGCAAGAACTTTGATGTATAATACCTTGATCAGAAAGGTATGGGCTTAAAATAGAGTTGAAGTATTCTCTCCTATTGTCGGTGCGGAGCGTGAGTATTGTGGAGTTAATTGAGTCCTTGTTATGAAATGAAAAGGAGATAAACCCAACATACTCTTATGGTCATCAATGAAAGTTATGAACCATCTAGCTCTCATGACATTTTTTACTTGGCTATCCCCCCATAGGCCACTGTGTATTGAAGAGAAAGGTTGGGATTGGATATAAGGTTTTAAAGGGTATGGTACACGGGTATGCTTTGATAATTGACAAATTTCATATTTCAAGGAGAAAGGTTGTATGGTGGAGTTAATTGAGTCCGAATTATAAAATGAAAGTTCTGGAATATATTTGCTGTTTCAGATTTTTCTTTAAGGAGATAAACCCAACATACTCTAGTATGGTCATCAATGAGAGTTATGAACCATCTAGCTCCCGTGACATTTTTTACTTGACTAGCCCCCCATAAGTCACTGTGTATCAAGGAGAAAGGTTGGGATTGGATAGAAGGTTTTAAAGGGTATGGTACACTGGTATGCTTTGATAATTGACAAATTTCATATTTCAAGGAATTGGTGCTTTTATTACAAAATAAAGGAGGAAACAAATGCTTCAAATACAAGAAGTTTTGGTGCCTTAACTTACGGTGCCACAACATGACAGTGTCCGCATTTGAAGCTGAGAGAGTTGATCCTCCATGCAAGCCATCTTGCTTATTCTTGTGGTTATTCCATATATATAATATAGTCCATCGTCTACCTTAACAGTGCCAATCATCCTCTTCGATTTTAGTTCCTGTATAACACAACCAAGAGCAGAAATTGAGCAAGAACATCCTTATCTTCAGTGAGCTTACTGATTGAAAGTAAATTGCAAGATAAATTAGGAACATGTAGAATTTTCTCAAGTGAAATATTCTTGGTGAGTTGAATTGCTCCAACTCCAGCAACGAGAGAGTATGAGCCATATGCTATTTGGATATGGGATTAGTTGTGACTGAGTGCATATGTGTGAAACAGAAATGAGTTATCTATCATGTGAACGGAGGCACCCGAATCGAGAATCTGGGCAGATTGATTACCGGAATCAGAGGCAGTACCTTGAACGACCAAAGATCTATGAGCAGTTGGAGTACCAAGCATCTTATGGAGAGTTTGGAGTTGAGACTTGATTAGATGAACATCTAGGAGAACTTCAGTGGGAACAGACGAGGTGTTGGAGGATATTAAAGCCTTGTTGGCCTTTTGATTTTTTGTTGTTCCAGGATAGCTATGAAGGTTGAAGCACTTCTCATTTATGTGTCCAATTCGATTGTAGTGGCTATGCCATTTACGATCTCTTGATCGATTTTGCCCCGAATCACTTTCAACTCGAGTTTTCTGAGATTGAGGACCCCGGAGATAAGGGCTGAGTTTTCAACAAGTTGGTCACATGTTTGGGTTCCTTCATGTCTCCCATCATGACTCAGCGACGATTCTCCTCTCTTCGAACCTATGCAAAGGCTTTACTAATGGCAGGTAGGTGAGTTCTGCCCAAAATACAGCAACGGACTTCATCTAATTCATGGTTCAGCCCTGCTAGGAAATTGTAGAGTCGTTATCTGTTGAGATATGTCATGAACTTGGTGTGTTCCAAGACTTCACCCTAGTTTGCTTCATAATACATGAGTTCCCGCCGCAGGATCTTTAAATTATTGTAGTAATGGGTCACTTTGAGTGTCCCTTGTCGAATGTCCTTCAGTTTTAGTTTGATCTCAAACACTTGAGAGGCATTTCCCAAGTCAGAATAATTTTCCTTGACTGTATCCTACATTGCTTTTGCAATATTGAACATAAGGTAGTTACGACTTATGTGGCTTTCCATAGAGTAGATCAATCATGCCATTACAATTGAATTGTTGAGTTCCCATGTAGCATAATTAGGATCTGTCGAAGGTGGACGTGGGATTTCCCCATTGATGTATCCTAATTTGCCTCGACCTTGAATCACCATTAGAATGGGTTGAGACCACTGTAAGAAATTTTTTCCACCTATACGGTGATTAGTGATTATAAGGGAGAAATTGATCTCACCATGAGAGGTTACCTAATTGATATTCTGAGTTACTTGTGAAGTCTCAGATTCGGACGAGGTTTCAATGTGATCTCCCGTGGGAGGAAGACTAAACAAGAGAAATTTATAAGGAAATGAACAGGACCATAAGAGATCTAAAGCTTTGATGCCATGAACAAACTTAGGAGAGGAAAAAACATTCTTATTTTCTCTATCTTCCAAAGAATCAATAGATTACAACTAATAGGAAAAAAAGGCCCTAAACAATAGGAAATGATTCCTAAAAATCAGGAACTAAGATTTAGAGACTACTTACACTAAGTCGACTCCTAGAAATAAGGAATGATTCTGCTCCTTAATTCTCAGAATTCCAATGGTATTGTCGGGGGTCTGTTCGGATTGTGCATTACAATCCAATTGCTAAACTATTTAAGAAGGAATTTGCATCGTCTCAATATCCCTCTTGGAAAGCCCACATGAAAGGTGGCTAATCAAAATTCCTCCAAATCTCTCGCTCTACTCCCCCATGTCTCCTATAAAATGAAAAACTCAATATTTATATTTAATTACTATATATGTTTTCATATTTTTCAGTAAAGCTATACATTTTTACTAATCTAATGATGCCCATATTGAATTTTTGTTTTTCTTTATATTTTCTACCTGTAATATCATTCTTCTTTTATCGTAATCTTTTTCTTGTAGTCTTATCCAATTTCGATATTCATTCTAAAAAATCTTTACCATAACAGTACAATTGTAACTTTTATGTTTTGAGCTGATGCATAGAAAATGTCTTCCTTTCAAAATCCCCCATCCAAATGCACTCTTTGTTTACAGAAGGGAAGTTTTCAAATGGTGTATGCGGAACTCATATACATTTGTTGAGCACTTTGGTTCAAGCCTTCAAAATTTGCATATGAACTGGATAGCACGGAAAGTTCTTTTTCAGGGAATTTTATGAATGTATTTTTTTCTCTTATCACCTCTTTCTTTGCTAATTATATGAAGTTACAGCTGCTATTGTCCTGCATTTAGTCTTTAGTCTTGTCATTTGCGCATTTTTTTCCTCATCATGATCAAACTTTAATTGATCTCATTATTGTCTTTCATTTCTGAAGCCCCCAGGAACTGCAGAGTCATCGGCTATCATGTTTGGTACTTCAGATTGTGGAGACATAGGAAGCAGTCCGGTAGGGGCGATGGATACTTCAGATCAGATGCTTTTGCCTGCAGGTCTTCCTTCCTTTGATAACTTTAATCCATCTCTTCCAGTTTCCACAGAGGAAATTTTGAGCAAAAGTCAAGAGATCACAAACAGTGCTATGACATCTGGTCCATCAAACCAAACTCCAGCTTCTTCCACTGGTGAGTTAGATCATTTAATGAAAGCTGAAGCGCTGATGACTTTTGCAGTTGAATATGGTGCAGTAGAAACACCTGCAAGTGATTCCTCATCAATTTTCAGAAACCCTTATCTCCCAAAGTCTCGTAAAACGCAGAGTTCTAATTCAAGCCAAAATAATTACAAATATGTTGCAACATCACCCTCTTTTCCTTGCTTTGGTGGATTGGATGAGAAGACTGGCATGCCTATGAATTTGAAGGCTCACCCTGGAGGGCTCGATTCCAATGCCATGCTCCAACTGAAGAAATATTATACTCATGTGGAAACAAGGGCAGAGAGATTTGGTAGGAGGTTGCTGACGAAAAATGATAGCAATGCTACCAATCAGATGTCGGGAACATCTCAGTTTGGTAATTTTTATTCAATCAATTCAGATAATTCTGCTGGCAGGAAAATGTCACAGGGCATATTTGGCGGGGAGCGTATCCTTCTATCTAAGAGGACTGTGCTAGGAACTGATGTGGAATGTGCTATGTTCCAAGCTTCGATGTTAAGGTTGCGACACATACTATTGTCTCCCACTAGTCCTGCAACTATTAACTTGAGTAGGCCTACAACTAGTTATGTTTTAAACCAGCTTCCTGATGAACCTAGTACCATGACGGACAATCTATCTAGCCGGTATGAGGTGAACAAGAAAGAATGTATACCTTTCAAAAGTGCTGGTGATATTGATGGAGTAATGCTAGATAGGCATCTTAATGATCCTGTAGGTGTATGGCGCACTGTTGGAGCTCCAAAAGTCTCAAAGCTTGCTACTCCAAGTATTGAAGCTAATCCATCATTAACCCATAATTTATTTAATGAGGAAAGTATGCTATCTTACGGGCAAAGTCAACCACTTCAGAAACTTCTTGATGGCATTCCATTATTGGTCCAGCAAGCTACTTCCTTTGTTGATTTGCCTTTGGATGCCGGTGGTGGTGACTGTCCTTACAGCTGGCTTGCATTACAAGAGCATTGGAGGCGAGGATTTTGTTGTGGGCCTTCTATGGTTCATGCAGGTTGTGGAGGGACTTTGGCTTCTTGTCATTATCTGGACATTGCTGGTGTGGAGTTAGTAGATCCACTTTCTGCTAATGTGAGCTTCTCATCATATTCCAGATTACTAATTGCACTAATTTCTATGGGTCCTATAACACTGGAGTGAATCCCCTGAGATCTTGCGGGTAGTTATCAAGTCAAATAATTTTGAAATCTGTCACATTTCATTGTCGAACGTGTGTGCAGAATTATTGGACCAGAGAACTTTGACATTTTATCATATAATTAAGTCTCATGCGAAGAATATTTTCTTTCAGATTCATGCTTCTTCCGTAATCAGTTTGCTGCATTCTGATATCAAGTCAGCCTTAAAATCTGCATTTGGCAGTTTGGATGGTCCTTTGTCTGTCACTGACTGGTGCAGAGGTCGCAGTCAATCAGGTGATGTTGGAGCCTCAGGTGATGGATCATCAACAGAGTCCAATATAAGTGAATGCCGAGACTCTTCAAGTACCGTAACTCTCTCTGTGGGAGAAGCAATGAGTCCATCGCAAACTTCTGTTGGTGGCTCATCTTCCCATAAAGGTATGTTTACATGCTACTATGCTATATCTACGGGAGTCCTGAAGAAACTTGACATGCCAAATGGGTTTTCCTCATTGATGCAGTTGTTGGTGCAATAGATGGATGTAAAGTTGATGAGACCAGCCAAAGGAGATTGAACCAAGAAACTTCTGGTTCTGAGTTAGAGCAACAACGATGCAGTCGGCTAAGACCAACACTTTTTGTTCTCCCATCACCTGCAATACTTGTTGGGTATGTGTCCTCCGTTTGTTATTTCACATGCAACAGGTTGCTCAAGTCAATGGCAAATGGCCTAAAACAAAGGAGTACAAGAAGCTGGATTATCGACCCAGTCTAAAGCAATTAAACAGTCGGACTCTAAAATTAGCCTTCCCCTTGATGCCCACTCCGATTCCAAAAATAATTGCAAACCCCTCTTGATAGCCAACAATTATGGCAAAATTGGAGGACTAGAACCAACTTTTTCAGAAAAAGAATCCAGCATTACACCATTTTCGTCCCAAAGCAAACACCCAAAATTGTTGAAATTATATATATTATATTTTTTAGGCCATAAAGAGGAATTTTATATATTTGTATAAAATTTCAACAATTCTGGGGGTCCCTTGCATTGCTACTAGAATGTGTGTAACTCAGTCGTTAGACTCACTCCGAAAAGTTCATATTTTGATTTCGAACTTTAATAGACATAAATATAACCTATTGGTATAAACTTGTGGAGACTTATATAAAATAAAATTAACGAGAAGACAGAATACAGAGTACTTGTTAATAGCGATTAAAGGAAAGAGAATATCGGTCGTTGACTCTTATATTCACCTCTCTCCTATTCATGGGTTTCAGGATGGTTAGTTTATAGAGAGGTGGTAACTTTGCTCTGGAGGAGCATGAAATTTTATTTTCTAAAGTCTAAACAGGAAAGAGAAAGTTAAGGATTTCACTGCTAACCACTTGGAAACCCTTTGATTTGCTAAGTTGATACAGAATTGCCAGAGGGGAAGAAACAGTGCTGAAATCCATTACAATAACATATCAGTTAAGATTAGAGTAGATCAACTGAATTGTCAAGATATATAACTTACTGTGCTATAATGTCAATTACATGCGTATCATGACATTACTTGCAATTGATAGTTTGGACAGTTATTGCATGTGACAATGAATGTAGGGTATACATGTGAGCCAAGTAGGCCGTATTTAAAATGAAGTTGATACATTAGTCAGACTTTGCGGTTTGCTCTCGTTATATCATGACATTCGATCATATAAGTGCAAAGATGATTTTGTAGGTACCAGGATGATTGGCTTAAAACTTCAGGGAACTCATTGCAGCTGTGGGAAAAGGCTCCTCTTGAACCATATGCTCTACCGAAACCTGTAAGATTCTTTGCATGGGTTGCTGCAGCTGAAAAAAAGACTATTTAATGGGCTGATCTGATTTTAGAAACTGCTTTCTGTTCATAATCTGAACTTTTTGCTTGCAGATAAATTATTCTGTTATATGCCCCGATATTGATCCCCTTACTTCTGCTGCTGCTGATTTTTTCCAACAACTAGGAATTGGTGAGTATGAGATTTTGTTGCATTTTTTGTTTTCTTGAGTTTGAATTCTTTCAATTGAATATGAAGGTTATTGCTCAATAATTCAATTTAGCTAGAGTATTGTATTTTTGATGCATACCTAGTGAGAAAGAAAAGGTCATATGTTTCTTTCAGTATGGTTCTGTAAATCCACGGAGATTAGGTAAGGAAGCATAATCTTTTTTTTTTTTTTAGAATTGGAGGTCTCATTGAAACCCCCCTTCATATTTACTAGTACACTTAGGGGTATTCCAGTAAAAAGCGGCAGTGGGAAAATGTCAGAATTTATTGAAATATAAAAGAACAGTACAAAGTGCTTAGGACTACAGATTGTTAGTCCCAAAACATAAACCTTGTAACCCTACATCAGAATCTTCCACAACCCGAAAAGAAAACCACTCTATTAACCAATTCCAGTCTTGGCTAAAGCATCTGCTTCTAAGTTTGCTGGTCTAGCTATCCAGTGAAGAATACCATCTATACTCCTAATTCTACCGGCAATTTCCTTAGAGATTGTAGCATAAATGCCAGGACACTCATAGCAATTCACTTTAGTTAATGTACATCTGATGCATACCTGTGAGAAGAAAAGGTTAAATGTTTCTTTCAGTACGTTTTGTCAACCTGACAGGGATTTTGGTGGGAAGCACAAGCTCGTAATTCTTGATTGGAAGAAATGAAAAGTTTTGGAGCTGTGTTGACTTTGCCCAGATGTTTGATCCTTTTCTCCTTAGATGAGCTGAATCTGTCCGTCCTTTGATCAAACTAGAATTATCTTTTAACAAGGATGCCTTCATTGTTTGCTCATCTTTGTCTTTAAATGTTATTGACATTTCACAACTTGCAACGGCTGGGTTCACTCAAATCTCTGGTTTATGGTGATGGTAAATGGGGCAGACACCCTATGAGTTCCCTGTAACTTCCGTCCAATTAATACTAGTGAAAATATTGACGTCAGTTATCAATATAGCTTGTTTTCTGTTCGAGTTATCATTTTATATTTGTGAAGTGAAAGCATGGTTATATGATAGTTTGATCTTATTGCTTATTTTTTCTCAGTATATGAGACATGCAAACTGGGAACACACTCACCTCAGAGTTTGGGAAATCAGATGGAGATTGATTCGGGAAAATGGTTTTCTTCTGGTTTTGTCCTACTTGATTGCCCCCAATCAATGAAGATAGAAAGTAGTAATGCATCTCTCCTAGGATCGATAAGTGATTTTTTTCTCTGTCTGTCAAATGGTTGGGACTTGACCTGCTATCTCAAATCTCTTTCTAAGGCCCTTAAAGCTTTGAAAATTGGTCAATTTTTGTTCACAAACCAAAAGGAAGGAATAAGCAGCCCTTGCATGGTAAGTATGGTGTTCCTTGTATGTCTTTTATGGAAGTGGTTCTCTCTCGACATGTTCCTTGTTTGATGATGATTGACCATATTTACCTCTGCACAGAGGGGAAACAAAAAATCTGCTCTCTTCGTCGCTCCAATTTATTAATTATGAGAAATGAATGTGGTAAATTCATTATTCTAGGCACAATAATTCAGTTACCTTAAATGATACATCTGTGTATTATCTTTGGGTTTTTGTTTTTCTTATGTCAAGATCCATATCAATATTAGTTCTACTTTGCAAAGTGCATGGTTTTCTTTCTGAAATGACACATAATGTTTATTCACTGTAACTATGTGTTTTTTTTCTGTATTCCTTGTTAGTTTAGAGCATATTGTGTCTAGGCCAGACCATAGTTTGGCTGTCCTACTTGATGGTACATGTAATGTGCAAGCTTCTTCATGTTACTGAATGTTACTTCTATTGGCATTTTTGTGGCATTCAATTATGCTTAAGTTATTTATATCAATATTAGCAGGTTGGAGGATTTAGAATGCACTTTCATTTTGGTATATGTTCATATTTGAAAAGCATCATATCCTAAAAAATATTTTGCCTGCAATGATTTCACATGTTTTCCCCTTGTATTATAACATTTCTCATTAGAAAAAGATCGAGTAGCTTGTTGCGATTTAAGGGTACAACATAAGTGCAACTAAGATAGAAAAGCTTCAGAGTTATAGTTTCGATGAATTTATATTATATACCATTGCCATCTCACCCTGTAATACATAAATTAAGATAAATTGTTTAATTAAATACGAAATCCGTTCTTCAGCAGAGTTCTTGTTGTGGTGCATGACCCTCTCTGATTTAAACCTTACATTTTCAGATTACCTCGTAAACTTGCTTAGTATTACTAATGTGACCAAACCAAGTTGTCATTACCTATTGCGTTGGTTTCTTGTATTTAGGTAATATATGTGGTTTGCCCCTTTCCAGAGCCTACGGCAGTCCTAAAAACTGTCATTGAATCTTCTATTGCTGTTGGATCAAATATTCTGCCTTCGGATAGGGATAGATCTCTGCTGCACAGTCAAGTGGGGAAGGCATTAAGCAGCTCAGGAGCTGCGGATGAAACATCAGTATCAAATATTCCTGTAGTTTCTGGGTTTAGTGTTCCAAAAGTGGTTCTTCAGATCATAACAGTGGATACCATTTTTAGGGTTACAAGTCCACCTTTTAATGAACTTGTCATTCTTAAGGAGATGGCTTTCACTGTATACAACAAAGCTCGGCGAATTTCACGAGGATCCATGAATGATCTAGCCTTATCATCATCATTATCCAGTAGATCTCATTCTGTCTTAACTACTGTGACATCTATTCCAGCAATGTGGAAGGATTCTGTTGGTTCTCGAATCCCAGGGTCTTCTATTCCTAGAGAGGGTGAAATTGATTCCAGCTTGAGGGGTGGTGCTTGGGAAAATTCGTGGCAAACAAGGACAGGAGGATTAAGTTGTGACCCAAACAGAAATGGGGATTTCATCTATCCCGATGAAGTTCGTTACATGTTTGAGCCCCTCTTTATTCTTGCAGAGTCTGGTTCTTTAGAGCATGGAGTTTCACCTACATCTTTTGGTAATTCAACCTCTGAAACTTCAAAGATAGTCTCAGATGAAAGTAGTGGTGGCTTCATGCAGACTGCAAATTCAGTAGGAAGTACTGATCCTGGCTCAGGCTCTCAGCTTGCTGGGTTGGAGTCTGATGGTCTTGATTCTTGTAACCAAAAGACCCCTAGCTTACACTGTTGCTATGAATGGACAGAAGATTGGCGGTGGCTGGTTTGCATCTGGACAGATGCAAGGGGGGAATTGCTTGACTGCAACATATTTCCTTTTGGTGGAATTAGTAGTAGACAAGACACAAAAGGTCTACAGTGTCTTTTTGTGCAAGTTCTGCAGCAAGGCTGTCAAATACTTCAGACATGTGCTTCATCTGATATTGGTGTTGTCGAGCCCAGAGACTTTGTGATCACACGCATTGGAAGTTTCTATGAGCTTGAATACCTTGGTACATCAGTTTGGTTCGTTGTTAATTTTTGTTTTATCTTTCCCTCTAGCATTTCAGGCTATCTTGTGCAATATCATTGAATGAATAGGCCATATTATGTATATGTTGCTTCTGAATTTGATAATTCCGCTGCTTTTTGTTTGTTGTTTTTATACTTGCAATTATAATATGTTTAGCGTATCAGTCACAAACCTCCAAGGATGCTGTATGTTAATATACTATTTTGTTTTCTTCTGTTTACCCGGCATTAATACTGTTTTTGTTTTTGCATTGTGACTAAAGAGTGGCAAAAAGCCATCTATTCAGTTGGTGGATCTCAGGTGAAGAAGTGGCCTCTTCAGCTGCGCAGATCTGTTCCTGATGGCATGCCTGCTAGCACAAATGGAACTTCATTGGATCAGCAAGAGATGAGTTTGATTCATGATAGAACATTGCCTTCCTCGCCTAGTCCACTGTACAGTTCTCACACAAAGGCTAGCTTTATGAAAGGTGATTTAGGACAATCTGCTGCAAGAAAGCAGCTTTTGAGTGGACAAACATTAGTTGACAACTCTAGGGGATTGCTTCAGTGGGTGCAGAGTATCAGTTTTGTTTCAGTTTCAGTTGACCATTCTTTGCATCTAGTGTTGCAAGCAGATTCAGCGTCTCCTGGTGAGCTATCAGTCACTCTTTTAGTTAATTCTCTTTTTCACATTGTAAATGATGCTTTAATGTTTTTATTTCCCTTTCACAACACGACTACGTTGAATTGTTTGGTTAAATTATATATGGGGGGGGGGATACCTGTCTTGTTGACCATGGTCTCTTACTCATTCTAGTCCTCTTACTATTGTGCATAAGAACGAGGCTTGAAAGAGAGAGATTGTTAAAAGAAGGGAGATGGATGTTTGTCCTTTCATCCCACACTGTTGATGCGATTCAATTGGACGGGAACTAGATCTAGTGCCAGCCAACAACTTTCCTAGAGAATAGTCGTATATCATTGGGTACCGTTCAGAGGGATGGATCATGCTGAGCCTGTTGACTCTTCATCCAGAAACTAACCATGTTTTCACTTTTACATATAAAAAAAAGTGAATGCTATCTATTTGTAATTATGTATTATTTGTTAATAATACTTGTATTTACTAAGACCATTTCATCGTGTACCAGGAACTCATAGTGGCAGTGGTGTGGGTCAGTCAAGCTACATAGAAGGGTTCACTCCTGTCAAATCTCTTGGTTCAACATCTGCTTCATACATGTTAATCCCATCGTCCAGCATGAGGTTCCTACCTCCAACACCTCTTCAACTGCCAATATGTCTAACTGCGGAGTCACCACCGCTTGCTCATCTACTTCACAGCAAGGGCTCTGCGACCCCTCTTGCAACTGGTTTTGTGGTTTCAAAGGCTGTACCGTCTATGAGGAAAGACAGCAGAAATTACCCAAAAGAGGAATGGCCTTCGGTTCTTTCCGTCAGTCTCATTGATTATTATGGAGGTAATAAGGTTGCCCAAGATAAAGTAATCAGAGGAATTACAAAGCAGGCAGGAAGGACTCCGAGCTCTGAAACTAGATATTTTGAAGTTGATAACCATTTGATTTTGGCATCTATTGCAGCAGAGCTTCATGCTCTGTCATGGATGACAATTAGCCCTGGATTTTTAGATCGCCGAACTGCACTGCCGTTTCACACTGATATGGTTTTGAGACTTAGAAGATTGCTTCATTTCGCAGAGAAAGAGCTCTCTCGGAAGCCCGATAAGTCCCAAGTTTAGGAAATAATTGTTGATAAAGAGTAAACAACATAGTGGAGAAGAAAAGAAACTCTTTTTATTATATATTGTGAATGGTGAAAATACATCTTTTTATAGGAAAAGTTAGGAGTAAGTTTTCTATTAGAAGTAAAATATTTGGTAGTTATCCTTATGTATCTAACTTTATAAGAGTTAGTGTTATATTAAAATACTAACTTATCTATTGCATAACGTACACTCCCCCTCAAGTTGAGGAGTAAATGTTGAAAAGACCCAACTTGGATATAATCTCATCAAAGGTAATTCTTGGAAGTGCTTTAGTGAGAATATTTGTTAACTGATTCTTCGTTGAAATATAATTGAGCTTCACCGTTCCACCATTCACCTTTTCAGAGATAAAAAATAATTGGATTCTTTGCCATACTTATTGTAGATTTACTGTCACTTTGAAGTTCAAATCATTTGTTGGCACATAATCCCAGTTCAGTTAACATTTTTTGAAGTCAAATTCTTTCACAAATTCCAAGTATTATTGCTTTAAATTCTGCTTCTACACTACTTCGAGACACCATTGCTTGTTTTTTACTTCTCCAAGTAACCAGATTTCCCCAAACAAATGAACAATAACCAGTTGTAGATCTTCTATCCGTTAATTCACCTGCTCAGCTTGAATCCGAAAAAATTATTACTGTTCTATAATCACTCTTTCTAAAAATTAATCCATGTCCTGGTGTCATTTTAAGTATCTTAGAATTCTATTCATAGCCTCTAAATGTTCTTCTCTTGGATCATTCATATATTGATTCACTATACTGACAGGGAACACAATATCAGGTCTAGTAAGTCTAGTAAGTGATAAATAAATTAGTTTACCTACTAGCCTTTGATATTGTTCTTTGTTCACAGGACTTCCCAATTCTTCTCTCCTTAGCTTCAAATTTGCTTCCATGGGTGTTTCAGCCGGCTTACATCCCTTCATTCCAGTTTCCGATAGTAGATCAAGGATATATTTCCTTTGGTTGATCACTATTCATTCTTTTGACCTTTCAACCTCCATGTCTAAAAAATACCGTAAAGTTCCCAAGTCTTTGGTTTCGATCTCCTTTGCCAGTAGCTTTTTCAATCTTTCTATCTCCATACAATCATCACTTGTTAGAATGATATAATCCACATAGACAATCAAAATTGCCTTTTTGTTGTTTGAAGATGTTTTGACAAATAAAGTTTTATCTGATTGATATTGCTTGCAACCATCCTGAATAATCACCTCCAAGTTTCCGTTTAGAAATGTGTTTTTGATGTCTAATTGATGAAGCACCCAATTCTCATTAACTGCTAATGACAGTAACACTCTCACAGTGTTTAGTTTTGCTAACGGAGCAAACGTTTCATGATAATCAACTCCAAAAGATTGAGTGAATCCTTTCGCCACTAATCTCGCCTTATATCTTTCAATGCTACCATCAGCTTTGTATTTTACTGTGAATACCCATTTGCAGTCAACTGATTTTTTATCTTTCGGAAGATCAACTATAATCCAAGTATTGTTGTTTTCCAGTGCTTTTAATTCCTCTTTTACTTCCTTTTTCCACTTGGGATCTTTCAATGTTTCTTCCACCGTTTCTGGAACAGTAATGCTATCTACACTTGTTGTTTTGAAGACTTCCCATCAGTAGGATTGCCATGTAATTTCCAACAGGAATCCCGCAGATGGCCAACCTTCTTACAATAGTCACACCAAGGTCTCCCCTTCTTTGGCCTAGTAGTAGTTTGAGAGTGAGGGATATAATTGTCACCATTCAATCGGTGACAGGTGATAGAGGTTGAAGAAACATCAGAATGAGGTGAATTAATGAGGAATTCCGAAGTGACCTCCGATGAAGAAGTGGTGGAATTCATGATCGACGGCTAGATTTAGGGTAAAAAAGAAAAAAAAATCAGCTAGATTTAGGTGAAGGATCGGTCACCTAGCTGATACCATGTTGATAAATAGTAAACAACATAGTAGAGAAGAAAAGGAACTCTTGTGAATGGTGAAAATACATCTTTTTATAGGAAAAGTTAGGAGTAAGTTTTCTATTAGAAGTAAAATATTTGGTAGTTATCCTTATGTATCTAACTTTATAAGAGTTAGTGTTATATTAAAATACTAACTTATCTATTGCATAACGTACACTCCCCCTCAAGTTGAGGAGTAAATGTTGAAAAGACCCAACTTGGATATAATCTCATCAAAGGTAATTCTTGGAAGTGCTTTAGTGAGAATATTTGTTAACTGATTCTTCGTTGAAATATAATTGAGCTTCACCGTTCCACCATTCACCTTTTCAGAGATAAAAAATAATTGGATTCTTTGCCATACTTATTGTAGATTTACTGTCACTTTGAAGTTCAAATCATTTGTTGGCACATAATCCCAGTTCAGTTAACATTTTTTGAAGTCAAATTCTTTCACAAATTCCAAGTATTATTGCTTTAAATTCTGCTTCTACACTACTTCGAGACACCATTGCTTGTTTTTTACTTCTCCAAGTAACCAGATTTCCCCAAACAAATGAACAATAACCAGTTGTAGATCTTCTATCCGTTAATTCACCTGCTCAGCTTGAATCCGAAAAAATTATTACTGTTCTATAATCACTCTTTCTAAAAATTAATCCATGTCCTGGTATCATTTTAAGTATCTTAGAATTCTATTCATAGCCTCTAAATGTTCTTCTCTTGGATCATTCATATATTGATTCACTATACTGACAGGGAACACAATATCAGGTCTAGTAAGTCTAGTAAGTGATAAATAAATTAGTTTACCTACTAGCCTTTGATATTGTTCTTTGTTCACAGGACTTCCCAATTCTTCTCTCCTTAGCTTCAAATTTGCTTCCATGGGTGTTTCAGCCGGCTTACATCCCTTCATTCCAGTTTCCGATAGTAGATCAAGGATATATTTCCTTTGGTTGATCACTATTCATTCTTTTGACCTTTCAACCTCCATGTCTAAAAAATACCGTAAAGTTCCCAAGTCTTTGGTTTCGATCTCCTTTGCCAGTAGCTTTTTCAATCTTTCTATCTCCATACAATCATCACTTGTTAGAATGATATAATCCACATAGACAATCAAAATTGCCTTTTTGTTGTTTGAAGATGTTTTGACAAATAAAGTTTGATCTGATTGATATTGCTTGCAACCATCCTGAATAATCACCTCCAAGTTTCCGTTTAGAAATGTGTTTTTGATGTCTAATTGATGAAGCACCCAATTCTCATTAACTGCTAATGACAGTAACACTCTCACAGTGTTTAGTTTTGCTAACGGAGCAAACGTTTCATGATAATCAACTCCAAAAGATTGAGTGAATCCTTTCGCCACTAATCTCGCCTTATATCTTTCAATGCTACCATCAGCTTTGTATTTTACTGTGAATACCCATTTGCAGTCAACTGATTTTTTATCTTTCGGAAGATCAACTATAATCCAAGTATTGTTGTTTTCCAGTGCTTTTAATTCCTCTTTTACTTCCTTTTTCCACTTGGGATCTTTCAATGTTTCTTCCACCGTTTCTGGAACAGTAATGCTATCTACACTTGTTGTTTTGAAGACTTCCCATCAGTAGGATTGCCATGTAATTTCCAACAGGAATCCCGCAGATGGCCAACCTTCTTACAATAGTCACACCAAGGTCTCCCCTTCTTTGGCCTAGTAGTAGTTTGAGAGTGAGGGATATAATTGTCACCATTCAATCGGTGACAGGTGATAGAGGTTGAAGAAACATCAGAATGAGGTGAATTAATGAGGAATTCCGAAGTGACCTCCGATGAAGAAGTGGTGGAATTCATGATCGACGGCTAGATTTAGGGTAAAAAAGAAAAAAAAATCAGCTAGATTTAGGTGAAGGATCGGTCACCTAGCTGATACCATGTTGATAAATAGTAAACAACATAGTAGAGAAGAAAAGGAACTCTTGTGAATGGTGAAAATACATCTTTTTATAGGAAAAGTTAGGAGTAAGTTTTCTATTAGAAGTAAACTACTTAGTAGTTATCCTTATGTATCTAACTTTCTAAGAGTTAGTGTTATATTAAAATACTAACTTATCTATTGCATAACCTACAATAACAAAAGCAATGCACCCTCATTTTATGCATACTTGGTCTGTGTCCATACCTCACCTATTGTAAAACTAAATGGTATATCATGTAAGATGTTTGCAGTCTGCTTGTATGATTTCAGCTCACAAATTGGTCTCCATAAAAGAAGGGAAGGAACAAAAAAAAAAAAACACTAGTGAGATGCATCAGTTACTACCAAAGAAAGACGATGTAAACTAGCATACGTGGAATGTTATTCCTGTTAGACTCTAATTGGAAATGCTGCAACGTGGTATAGGTGTAGGAAATTTCAGTCACTTTGGTGGTGTCCTAATGATCAATTTTGATGCTTTTTTCTTTTTATAATTCAAGTAGCATGTATCCAACTCTTCATGCTAGGGATATAATTCAGTTCTCAATTGGAGTTCTAGTTCGACATGGAATTGGAGCTCAAAATCGAATAGTGAATGACCATTAATCAATGCTTTTGGACTTATTATTTACCAACTCAATTAAGTTCTTAAAAGAAAAGTAGATAGAGAAAACAAGGGTGGAGACTATGAATTTTTATATGTATTAATATAATATCTCAAAAGTTATAAATTTCAAACTTTTCAAAGTTTAATAATAAACGAATAGAAATATTTATAAAATAATATGAATTTTTATATATATTTAAAAATTGACATTATTATTTAAAAATATAAAAAATATATTAAACATAAATTTTAGTTACATTTGAAGGTCAAATAAGATTTACTTTATTAACTTAATATGTTACTTCATCCCTTTAATGACAATTAAAGATGTTTGTATCTATTTTATAAACTTAAATATACAAAAGGTGCCCAATCTATGTCCGTTTTTTCAGTTTAGTGTTTAACGTTTTTTTTTGTTCTAGTTTGTTCTAGTTTGGTGCCTAACTTTCATTCCGT